GTGTGGGTTTTGTCAAAATTGGTTGCGATGGATTTTTTGACTTTTGGCCTATGGGAGCAACCACTGTGGGCTGGTGTCTCCCACTCACATACACATACGCACACGCATACATGCGCGCACTCTCTGTGCCGCGCCGTGCACTCTCAGTTCACTCTCTGCTACGATCTCTCTCAGTGTGTGTTTTTGCTGATTTGGTCAGGGCAAAAACCGTGCGCGCTCTGCGCATCAAGCTCAGTACAATTTGTTACTCTGACGCGTGCGTGCGCTTGGCTCGATTTTAAACACGGCTTTCGCCTACAGTTACAATAACAATCATAACAGCAGCAACAAAAACAACACAGAGAAACAACTGGAAACAAAGAAACTGCCTTCAAGCGAAAAAACAAAAACAAAATAAGACAATAACAGAAACACAATAGCAACAAGCAAGACACACGTCTTGGCGTTTTAGAAAACGCGCAAATAAAAAATTACAAAAACAACGCGCAACGTAAAACAACGTGAAATTCAATTGGCAGCGAATTGGAATCAAATTGGAATCGAATTTGATTTGTGTACCATTTGAACGGCAATTGGCTTCCAAACGGTGCGACAACGGCGCCAAACAAAACGAAACGCGTGCGTTTGAGGTGTTGTTCCATATGAAAGTCAACTACATGTAGCTGACTCGTGTGCGATATAAAACCATAACTCTGTCTCTATTTCATTGGGTCTCTCTATCCCTCTCTGTCACTCTGATCGAACGCTCAGCCCCAGCGCAAGTGTCCATCGATCTCGCTTCCGCACGGGCCCGCTCTAAAGAAGCTGGGTCAAAATTACGTCCGGCATTCGTTAGTGTGCGCTAAGGACTTTGTGAGCATGATACCACACTGTGGATACCGTTACATGTGGAACCGTGAAATTGTGATCAATTCGCAAAAGTTGGTGAAGCGACGTTAAAAAGCGGGCAGATATACACATATATATACACACACACATATATATATATATGTCGGAGCAGCCCTCCATAAAAGAAGAAGAAACAAACAAATATAAAGAGGAAGCAAAAACGAAAAACCTGCACTGCAGCTGCCACGCCTTTGAAGTATTTTCTGCGGCAGCAGTTGACCAGAAATTGAAGTCCACATAAATACATATAGAAATACCCTGTAATAGGCCACGCCCCTTCTGAGAGTGTGTGTGTGCGTGAATATATCCGCGTCATACCTTTCGCTTGTTGTTATTAACTTGGCCAAAAAAGCATTGGCATTTGTTAAAAAAATTCGCTGTGATTTTTTCTCGCCTTTTCTCCCTTGAGCAGGTTTTTTTTTCTCTGTAAAGTTCTCGATTCTGTTGAAAATAATTTTAAAAGTCAAATTTTGTACAGAAACATATATTTTATATTAAACGCGCATCTCGTTAATTTAGCAATTTAGTATAATAGTTTTTATTTAGTTTAGTTCTTGTTTTTGATAAACAAACAGAGCGCTTTTAGCGTTTTTTACAATATTAAATATTTAGTTTATAGTTTTTGAATACTCCACAACTCTCTCCTTCTCTTTCTATCTTTGTCTCTATCTCGCGCTTTGCCGCATTTTTTCGTTTTGTTTTTAAATTTGTTGCAATTCGATCCCTTTGCTTTATAAATATTTTCGTTTGAATCTGAGTCGCTGCTGCCGCAACAATGAGCTGCTACATATATATGCAACAAGCCTATGGTTAGTATATCTAATAACTATTTAAGCCTAATTATATACGATATCTAAAAACTGGATAGAGTTATTTAGATATCGTTTTCTGTTATGCACTCTCTCAAGTTTATGTTTATATACGTTGAGACCTTGAAAACCTAAATAAATAAGCAGTCTATGGGAACTTGGAATCGAATGTGAATTGAAAGTACCCATGGGTTAGGGTAACACGGCGGATCCTTATTATTCTGTATCATTCTATAATATATATTTGTATCATAGTATATAGAAATATAGTATATAGAATACACATTGAGTTTATAGCAATTTTCTAGTCTATTCAAAATCTCAACTCAGAAAAAAAAAATATTTCTATCCCCAATTTTACATACATTTATCTCTCGCCACTCATATTCCCAATGAAAGATGCACATATCCAATTTCACCTCAAATACCTCTCATTGAAGATCAATGTACCTGTCAATACTTATTGTAAATCTCTCTGAAAATGGGAGATATCTCATGCGAAATAATCCACTTATATACGCATCTCAAGATTTTTCTTTCACTCAACTGTTCATTTGTTTGCTTGTCGCTGCTGAGCAAAGTCTGGCCAAAGATGTCTTTCCGGTCAAGCGGGTTTATCATATAGGTATATGTACTTATATAGCGTATATATACATATGAGTGACTTATAAATACTGATACTTCTCTCTCATGATTGCTTATTGTTTTCCATTTGCAGTACTTTTTCTTGCGTTGCGTATTTATAAAATGCATTGCAATTTATGCTTTCTAGACGGACGTGCCCTTTCCAAAAATAATATGGCTATATATATAATCTATATATAGGTTTATAGTTCTTTAGTTCGCTCTGCAGTCTAATCAGAGTGTACCTGAGGTTATGACCTTGACCTATTTCTTTGGCAGACCAAATAATTTAATTAGTATTAGAGAATTTTTTCAAATAAAACCCATCTGAGGTGTAATATAGATTTGTTTAATATATTTTTAAATGGGAAATTTCAGGACTTTTTTACAACACTTCTAAGCAAACTAATGCTGCTTTCTCTAGAGCTAATGCTCGCCAAGGTTGTATTTAATCATGCCCTCATTAAAAATAATTTATTACATGTGTATGTATGTACATATACACATATATTTATGATCAGTGATAGTGCGAGTTGTTGGCATTGCTTATTTTTTTTTTTTTTTTTGCAGCTGTTCCCCGTTCTATTTGCCAGTCGTAGAGACAACTTTGTTTGTTTCTATTAATCTCGAATTAGTCTAATGTCAGACTCTCAGTCGAGCCCGCATTGCAACTGCAAATTGCGTAGTTTGCAGACGAAATGTAGGACACCGTTTTATAAAAATATACTCTATATGCATATATAAAGAAATAATAAATTATAAAATATATATTCTATTTATATGTATATACCTATCGAGTCACTACATGTCACATCATGCGTAGCACATTCATTTCATTTCCTACATTTCGTTTATAGCTCATGTGACATAGTTAGGCACTATCAATAGTGATCTGTTTTTTTTTTTGAGGAAGACAGAAATTTGTAGTAAGAACTACTGAAACAATATTAGTGTTATAATAGATTAGATTAGGAGTTATAGATTAACCCTTGCTCGAGTCTCGCAGCTTCATGAAATGAGAGATTCGAATAGACAAACCCATGTAAATGCTCAAATAAATATATATGTATATTATATTATATTTAATTTTTTATATTATATATTTAAAGTTTAGTCTGTAATGAGATCATATATGTATATTTTTATGCCATCGGTATGCCTTTAGTCGGCTCTTGGCTCTCTTTGCAAAGTTACTATTCATGGACTACTTTTTAAGCTCAGCAAGTGTAGCAAGGTCGACCAGTAATTGTTAGGAAGTCGGCTAATGTTTAAAACACATGGTTCTCTGTTTAATTTGCTTATACTTGCCTTGCTACTAACGATAAGACGTAATCAAGAAATATATTATTAGAAAAAGAATATAAACAGTTCAAAAATTTGGTACATATAAAAAGTTGATCTAAATTAGTTTCATTGATATGCTCATATATGTATAAAAGTATAAAATAGAATAAAATATGTACATATAATTTGATATAAACATTTTATAGAAATCTTACATTACAAAGTATCTTAAATATACATAAAAAATGTATAATTTTATTAATAATGAAAATTTTGTAAAAAAGATCTGAAATTTTTAGGAAGTCTTGGAAATCTTAGAAATTATCTTTAATATAATAACTCAAACTAAATTTTGTTGACTTTATACATCAAATTCTAACCGTTATTAATTTAGTAGTACATCGCCAGCCTAAACCATAGGTCTCACTTTTTTTTTAAGAAACATGACCTTGAATTCAATTTGATTTGAGATAAATGTACATGAAAGGGTCATTAAACTTCCTGCAGCTTGACAAGTTTGTTCAGACAAGTTTGTCAATTGAGCAGCTAATTGACTAACAAATTTGTACACATATATAAATATATATATACATATCACTCAGGTATTTCTGACATGGACTTAATTCATTTACTAGATTTTATAATTAATTGTTTTTCACTTTGCAACAAAGTGGCACAAAGAAACTTTTCCATAGAGCTCTCACAGACTGCAGTTATGATTAGATTTCCGATTTTCGAATAGACTTTTATATTAATTTAATAAATATATTGATATATATGTATACGTATATATGGGCACACCTTATATAGAGTAGGTGTGTAGTCTGTTGTAAACTAGATTTATATGCTAATCTTTGAGTTATGTGTGGAACGAGTTATGTTAATTGACTAATCGAGTGTCGATTGTCGAGCGGGGAATGCGACCCAGCCCAAGGTGGAAATGCAGGGTGCTCAAGCAGGTGTGCAGGCGAAGGTCGATTCTCTCTAACACACACACACATACACACACACACACTCTCTCTCTATCTCCCACTAGAACAGTCCGGACTGTCCAGAGCAATATAAGTATAAATTCTATGGAATATATAAGTGCAGTTGGCAACTGCTCTGAGTGAGGGAGGAGGCGAAGCAGGAGGCGGCCTGCTGCTGCGCTGATAACCTCTGCTGGTGCGGCTGCTGCGGCTGCTACTCAATTGAAATGAAACTCAGCGACAAGACAAATAATCAAATCGTTCAGTTGCCAGCGAACTAATTTCAATATTTGTCGTCTCTCTTCAAGTGAGAATCAATAAAAGAATTGGAAAAACAACAACAACAAATAGCTAAAAATATGCCACAATCAATATGCAAATATTTACGCAACGCTGCTCCAAATGGTTCAGCTAAAGCGTCCTTCACATCTTAATGGAAATGTATTTGAATAGAGCACAGCATTACAGTTAGATGATGATGTTAAAGAACAAGAAGAAGCAGAAGAAAATGCCGCTAGCAGCAAATAGATAACAAGAATTTTGATATTACGACGTAGTTCTGGCAGCGCCACGGCCAGTCCGTCAGCTAGATAGCTGTAATCGAAGCTAGACGGGAAATTGATTAAATTTCGTATTAATTAATAGTTAAAGTTTAATTTGCAATAAATTAAGTTTTAATATCATAATATATGTATCTATGCGTCTATATGTTCTTGAAATCAAATCAATTTCCTTGATGCTCTTACTAAATATATTTATGTATGTTTGTATTACATTTGAATCTCTTATTTTAATCGCTCGACTAATATACTAATAACTAATATATATTTTTTTAATATTTTCTGAACGAGTATTAAATTGATTTTATGCTCCTCAATCAGCCAATCAATCTACTCTCTATTAAGTTAATATCACTATATTTTTTGCTTAGATCCACAAAAATTAAATTTAATTTCCATTTCTATATTCCTTATAGAGTGCCTCCTAGACCAGAAGGCGTCGCACTACATTGACTATGAAACTTCGACGTTTCCCCAACAGCTCGATGTGGTGCAGCCGGACATGCTGCCCGAGACCAAAGTGCAGGAGGCGAATGCAGCAATGGCCAGCGACTTTCAACATGCTGATGCGTCGATGATCTTACAGCAATTGACGCCGCCGCAATCGCCGCCACAGTTCGAGGCACAGATCCCACAACAGCAGCCGCTGGAGCAGCCTATTAAGCAGGAGTCGAAGCAGGTGAGTTAGCTGGAGTTGTTTGATCTCGCAATTGCTACAACAGTCTCACAATTTCAGCTGCAATATGCCACCGATGCTATACCAACAACAACAACAGCTGGCGCAGCCTATGGCTTCAACAATTGGCTGCCCGAGAACGAGATCATACGGGAAACCCAGCTCGTCGACGATATTGTCAACATGCGCGCCCAGGAGCTGCAGCTGCCCATCAACTGGCAGCAATACAACGATGACTGCGAATCGCAGGCATCCTCCACAATGTGCAGCAGCAGCAGCCGCAGCAGCAGCAGCATCAGTAGCAGCAGCAGCAGCAGCAGTAGCCCCAGTCCGAGCAGCAGCATTGCTGATGCGGATGAGGATTGGCTGCCGGGTAGCAGCAGCAGCTCGCCCATCCACAACAGCGGCGAGGAGCAGCTGCCAGCCAAGGGGGCCAAGAAGCGCACGCGCGCCTATGGACGCGGCGTCGAGGATCGCAAGATACGTAAAAAGGAGCAGAACAAAAATGCGGCCACACGCTATCGCCAGAAGAAGAAACAGGAAATGGAGCACGTCCTCGGCGAGGAGCAGCAGCTGCAGCAGACAAATGCGCAACTGCGCCGCCAGCTAAACGATCGGCTCAATGAATCGCGTTACCTGCGCCAGCTCATCCGCGAGTTCTACAAGGATCGCCAGCAATAGAAGCGAATCACTCAAACTGTTGCCCTTCAAGTTCAAATGTCTATCTTATCTTTCTGCTTAGCTCTACCTAAATGCCCTATGCAAAGTTATCGTTATCGTTATTGTCACGTTGCAAATGAACCGCAAGCCACCCAACTACCCCCCAACCAACACACACAGACACACCCAACGCCACAACAAATGCATTTCGATATCAAGCAAACTTTAGCTGCCTGTCCAGCTCAGCATTCTTTGGCACCTATGACAAGTCGCCTCGCTGCGTCTTCGAGAAACCTTTTGCCGGTGCTAAGCCGTGGACAAAAACAACAACACTTGATGCCGCACAGGCCAATGTGCCACACACACACACACAAATATATACATGCGCGTGTGGCACTAAAGTTGAAAACAACAAAAATGTATATGAAAACCTTTTTCTATTTTGTTTTGAAATATATATTACCATCATCGAACCCTGTGCGGCGGCCGCTAAATGTTTATAAATTTTATATTCTTTTTGTTTGCATTTGTTGTGAAAATTTTAATTTTTGACTTTATAACAATTTAACATTAAACAGTTGATTTTATTGTAAATGAATAATAAATTGAAAAAGGGTTTTCAAAAAAAAGCAAAATCTCTGATGTTTCATATATGCTAATCAAAACTGAAATGGATGTGCTATATATATACGGAAATAATAAAGGAACTTTTCTAAGGTATTTGATTTGTGAATTGTTTCAATTTTGTAGGAGAGTTATAGCTATAGGTATTTCTTGTGATAGATAGATATATAGATAGCTCTTAAATTAATATTATACTTCAAGAGTAGCAATTAATGAATTTACTCTCCATCTAATCACCATTGAATGCGCTTTTTAAAGGATGCCTAATGAGTTGCCTACTCCAAGCAGCGCAAATGATAATTAGAATACCCAGTAATGCTCTATGGAGCTCAAGTGTGCTGAG